ATCCACCTCAATTCTCTAGTATAAAATTCAAGATACAAATTCGGAACCCACAGAATATATCATTTTTGAAAATGGATTTTTTCCTTAATAGAGTAACACTTTGCCTGGTCCATTTGTCATCACAAATACAGAAGACTCTATTCTAATTCTGTGACAGCCCAAGAGGCCATTAATCCCAAGGAACTGTAAATGATTTCCAAAATGGAAAGCTGATATGGGCAAATATTGTAAAAATATTCTCTATGTAGAAATAAATTCAGTATTTGGCTACACATCATGCTGTAATTGGTTTTGAATTATTGACTCTGTCATATCACATTTATTTTCTTCTGCAGAGTGTACATGGATAAAATATATCTTCCTTAGCATCTCAGCTTATACAGTTGAGAGATGAGGTTTGGAAATTTGTCTTTTCTTATTTAGGATTTTATTGCTTGCTTGTGAAAAGATAAGTATTTATAGGTGTAGATATCTCCTTGAAAGATACTTACTTGTTTCGTAACATTTCAGCTTGGTATCCTCCTTGACATTTCCTTGTGACACTTGTCTTCTCCCAAAACACCTTCAAAATTATAATGGTAAATTGAACTTTTTGGTTTAAATGGGTACTTAAAAACTGAATAACCCATAAACTCTGCTAAGGGCAAGAGAATCCCAGAAATTTAAACAGATAACTGAGGGAAAGGACAAAGCAATGCCTCCCCATTATTTATACAAAATCTCAAGTATTTTTATGTTCTTTCGACACTGGAAACGAGCCAGTGTCCTCACTGCACCTTTCTTAGGAGGCAGAGCAATTGTTTAGTAAAAATAACTCAGCCATCCGATATCTCTCTGTTACTCCTGCTTCCAACAGGAAAAATTTAAAAAATAATCTTATTAATGGGATGGAATGAGTTGGGTTGGAATGGAATAGAATGGAATATTCTGGGAGAACATGGCTGGTTGGATAGAATCCTGATTCCCTTTATAGCAAAGCTGTTTAAATTTTTGGGGAGGGGAATAACAGAATATCAGAGTTGGAAGGAACCTTGAAGGTCTTCTAGTCTAATTCCCTGAAAGCAGGAGACGCCCATACCATTTCAAACAAATGGTTGTCCAATCTCTTCTTAAAAACTTCCAGAGATGGAGCATCCACAGCATCTGAAGGCAAGCCATTCTATTGATTAATTGTTCGGTCAGGAAATTTATCATTTCTAGATTGGTTCCTCCTTGATTAGTATTTTGAGACAATGTCTTTGGCATTAATCAGATTTTGCCTTTAGCTGTAATAAATTATATTTACTTATTTATCTGTCAAAAATGGCTACTATAATGGGTTTGGGAATCTTTGCTTTGAAATGATTAAACTTCATTGATAAAGAGCCAGAGGAACTGTGGAATGAAATGAAAGAAGGCAGAAAATTGGTAAAGTTGCTTTATTAGACAGACATTTTATTATTGGAAATACAGCTAATGTTTGGGATTGGGATTTAATTTTTCATTCATTTTTTTAAGATAGATAAGAGATAAGATAACCTTTATTGTCATTTCTATACTGTGGGCACAATGGCACACAACAAAAATGAAATTTAGTTGCCTGCTCTCAAAGTGAAACACATACATGACACACACCTAAACATACTATGAACAACATAGTTTTCAGGACAATAGTACTACTGTACTCTGTAATATTAACATATTAATGTCTTAATATCAAAAATCTGTTTTTTGAATTTAGAAGTAATAAAAATAAAAGGAAATACATTTGTTTGAATTTATTAAGTTAAAAATTAATTATAAAAATAATTCATAATTCTACATAACTATAAAACTGCATTATATTGATCAAAGTCTCTCTAGATTGTACTATTGTAATTAAATTCGTATACATGATTATATCTGGTGGCAATCTCATTTAGATATTCATTTTGGTTATAGATATTTTGGGGAAATTGGAAAATTACAGAGCAGCCTTTAATAATTAATGCTGCTATAATTTTATTGTCCGTCTTCCAAGATCTTCAACAGTTATAAAACATAAGAAATTAATTCAGTTTTTGTTATTTGCTGGAAAACGTCCTTTGATTCTTTTGTGGATCAATGGCATTTTAAAATGTGAGATATAACATTGAATGAAAAATTAATAACTGAGAATCTTGAAGAATTATTGAATAATTATTTTATTCACTATTTGTCCCACTTTTTAGTGATACCAACATAGTAATTCTAGATAGCTGCCTATATAAATAGAAGATTTGTATTCAATGTTTAAAATTGTGCATCTCATTTTAAGATTAATTAATCAAATAATGCAGTTATTTGAGATTTATTAATTTTTTATTTATATATTGATTTAATCTGTTATTGCCATCGGGTCATTGTTAACTCTTAGCAACCATTTCTCCATAAGGATCTGCCCCAATCTGATCTTTCAGCACTTCCAATAGTGTACAATTGGATTTCTTTTATCTAATCATTGTCTTAGTTGTGGCTCTTTCTCCTGTTCCTTAAAGTTATTCTTACTGCCCGTTATTCTTTCCTGCTGGTCATCCTCTTCTTTCCCCTTTCTCAGTACCTTCACATAATATGTCTAAAGTAGAATAATTTGAGCCTGATCATTTGTGCCTCTAGTGACAGTTGATTTGTTTGATGAACCATTAGTTTACTTTCTCAGCTGCCTGTGGTATTCTCAGGAGTCTTCTCCTATACCAAAATTAAAAGAATCAACACTCTTCCTATCCTGCGTCTTCAAAATCCAATTTTCATTTTTTTAGAGTGTCACAGGAAAACCATGGCTTGCACTATTCAGAATTTTGTTATAGGCATCTGAATCTCTTTCCCAAGACTTTCATGGCTGCCCTACCAAGTATTAATATGCAACAGATTTCTTGAATGCTTGTTTTTTTATATTTGATGGTTGATCGTAAAAAGCAGAAGCTATCTACCACTTTGCTATATTCACTGTCAATTCTAAGGCTGGCTGCTATACCTGTTGTTATTAGTTTGCTTTTCTTTATATTTTAGTCTTGGTTTTTCTTCTACTGAGCTCTCTGACTTGTATTACTAAAGCTTGCAGATAATTTGCATTTTCAGCTATCAGAGTAGTGTCATCAGCATAATGTAGGCTATTGATGTCTCTTCCTTTATTTTTAAAACCATGCTCATCTTCTTCCAATCCAGTTTCCTTTAATACATATTCAGCATGTAGACTGAATAAATAATTAAGGAAAGATTATACAGCCATGTTTCACTCCTTCACCGACCCAGAGGCATTCTGTTTCACTATGACTTCTGCTCTGTGTATAGGTTTCACATAACAGCAGGAAAATATTCTGGGATTCCCATCTTCCTAAAGAGATTCCATAATTTGATATGTTTGACACAATTAAAGGCCTTTTTGTAGTCAATTAAGCATATATTAAAATCTTTTTTGTATTCCTTGGACCTTTCCAAGACTGTGTTGATAGTCCTTACAGGTGGGCCAGGTCAAAGAAAAGGAATGCCTGGAAATTCTCTTTACTGTTGTCACAATTTGAATATCTGGCATTTCTCTTTCCCTATATTCCCTTAAGGTAGATCTCTAATCTGCATTAGATGATCCTAACCATTGTTTTACTAATACAGTGAATAGATTGCAATAATTGCCTATTATGACTGGATTTCTTAATCAACATTTATTCAGTAAATCACAATGGGGTGATGCACACAACGAATTATTGAAAAAATCACAGTGAATAGTTCATACAATCAATGGCTAAAAAACACAATAGCCGAATTGGCCCAAAACCCAAATCAAGCAAACCAGTTATGGATTAATGTAACACACAAATCCAGCCATTATGAGAATACTTTATATGAATAATATGGAAGAGCTATTTTCATGAATGTTACAGTTCTAGTGTAGAACCCAGGTTTCTACTCTAGCCCTTCCTGAGTGATGCCAACAGGTAAACTGAGACTACAGCACACAGAATTACGATTGTGCCAGTTGATGTGCCAAGCTTTAGTTAGCTTGTCATAATCATAATTAATATTCATTGTTGTTGTTAATTCCGAAGTCATATCCGACCCATCGCGACCTCATGGACAACGTTCCTCCAGGTCTTCCTGTCCTCTACCATCTTCTAGAGTCCATTTAAGTTCATACCTACTGCTTCAGTGACTCCATCCAGTCATTAATATTAATATTCATAGCCTTCCCTCATTTGTTCTGTCTAACCAAACTGTTTATCAAAATTTAGTCCTATTTTTTTCTCTTAGATGAAGATAAATTCTGCCACGCTGCTTGATTTGTGCGCTGAGCTGTTTTGGCTTCACATCTTTAAAGACATTTCTCAACTGGACTCCAACTGAATTTTAAAAAGTTTATCCAACAGAGTCATGTTAATTCCAATTCTTTTTTTCTTCCCCAAAAGGAAAACTGTTCTGTATGATGGACTAGAAGACCTCCCTTCCAATTTTGATATTCTATTATGGACAAGATTGCAAATGCTGTTAGTTTAACTTCAGCAACTTTGTGTAGGTTTCAGTAACACTTAGACTTATATATTCCTTTATAGTGCCTCCAGCATGTTGGCTGGGAGTTGGAGGCCACACATCTTAAGGTTGCTGCAATTCAGAAACATCGGTCTACCAATCAGAACTATTAGTCTCAAATACTTTTCCTAGAAACGGAAAGTCTATAGGACTGTTTGACTACTTTATACGTAGTACTATGGACAAAGCAAAAACTTTAAAGGCTGCCACTAAGTCATATATCATATATTGTTTGAACGGTAGTGATATCCACTTCCATACTTCTTACAATACATTACGGACGCCTACAATACATCAAGCCACCACAAATAAAAATGAACCGAGGGAGAGACTTCAGAATACTGTAGCAACAATTCCATTCTCCGTAGCTGTCAAAAAGGTGAAAAAGCATCAGCAACTACTTAACGTCCTGAAGATTCCGACTACGCATGCGCGGAAATAAAGGCAGTCAATAATGGGTTCTAGAGAGCTTGACGACTTCGCGTTGCGCAGGCGTACTAGCTTGCTTCCTTTACGGTAGCAGCTCCTTCCCCCGAAACTATCATGGCGACTGGATTTGAAAGCGAGCGGGTCTTAGCGGCGCGTAAGGAAGAGAAGCGTCGCCAGCGCGAGGCGCTGCTGCAGCAGGTGACCCACCGGCTCGGCTTTTCGCTCCGCTTCCTCTGGCTTCCTTGGGGGAGTCGTGGGTTTCTGATCTTTAAAGCAAACTCCAGATTTGGGACTCGCCTACCTTGCTGTCTCTTTAGGACATGACCGAGCCCTTCCGTCTAGACCCCTCGGCTCTCGGCTTGGAGACGTCGCCATAAAAACAAATCCTTTGTTTTGAAGGGCTGCGCCTTATGCCAGATTAGATGCCCGATGTAATAAGTGGGCTTCTTTATCTTTTTTCGAACATTTCCCGGAAATTATGGGAAATGTAGTTTTACCAATGAAGCCATCTCGTATTGCTCCTAGAAAGATGCTCCCATGAATTGCAATCACTGGCAGTTTTGGAATCGGGGAGGGGCAGGGAACCCCCCTAGGACTAGGCAATGGCCATTCATTTATTAATATAGATCTCCCCCTCTACCCAAATGCTCTGAGTGGTAACCAAAGTAAAATGATCAAAGTAAACCCACTGTTATTTCATTCTCAGGGATCTTCATAAGGAAGTATTTTTGCATCTGCGAATACCTGTTTAGTCTTATTTACAACTAAATTCTCCCACTGGATTGTTGCTATTTCATTGGAAATGAGAGAATTAGTCTTGTACAAAGTCCCCTTTAAATTGTAGGCAAAGTATTAATGCATCATTGAATCATTCTGAGTGGGTATCATAATGAGAGTTCCTTGATGCCCTCTGAGCTTGGTTGTTTTCATGTTTTCTGCAGATGTTTCATTACCCAAACTAGGTATCTTGGAGTCTTAGTGGACAATCACTTAAATATGAGCCAGTAGGGTGTGGCAGCTGCCAAAAAAGTCAACACAATCCTCAGTTGCATTAACAGAGCGATAGAATCAAGATCATGTGAGGTACTAGTATTGCTTTATAAAGCCTTGGTAAGATCATACTTAGAATACTGCATTCAGTTTTGGTCACTATATTATAAAAAAGATGTAGAGACTCTTGAAAGAGTGTAGAAAAGAGCAACAAAGATTATTAGGGGGCTAGAGGCTAAAACATATGAAGAACAGCTGCAGGAATTGGGTTTGTCTAGTCTAGTGAAAAGAAGGACTAGGGGTGACATGATAGTAGTGCTCCAATATTTGAGGGGCTGCCACAAAGAACCTGAAGGCAGGATAGGAAGCAATGGATGGAAAATAATCCAGGAGCGAAGCAACCTAGAACTATGGAGAAATTTCTTTACAGTGAAAACAATTAACCAGTGGAATGGCTTGCCTTCAGAGGCTTTTAAGGACAGCCACTTGTCTGGAATGCTGCAGAAGGGTTTCCTGCTTGAGCAGAAGATTGGATTAGAAGACCTCCAAGATCCTTTCCAACTCTGTTATTTTGTTATTCAGTGTACTGATGATGTTACCTAGTTTGAGTAATGAAACATCTGCAAGAAAACAAGCTCAGAGAGAACTGAGGACCTGTCATTTCAACCCTGAGCTACAAATATTTTCCTTTATTGATTATCATAGTATCATGCTTACCTTTTTTGTACTCCTAGTTTTTTTTATTTCATAGTTCATTTTAAGTTGTGTGTAAGACAAAAGAGTAGTATGGGCTGAGAAATTTGTACAGGGAACAAAGGGATTCAGATACAAGTTCACCATCTGCCATAGATGGTTATTATTTCCTTACAGAGTTATTGCTGTGAAGGAAAATGGAAGGAGGGAATTATAAGGACTTGAGTTTTTGAACAAAAAGTTGGGTAAGAAATATCAATCAGTAAATGATTTCCTTTTTTGCTCCTTGGTGGTCTTAGAGTCAGGGGAAAGTGTCTTCTGATGTACATGTAGATATGTGTTATTTGCAAGTCAGGTGGTATCTTTAGGTGGAAAAGGATCCAAAGAAATGATTGCATTCAGAATTTGTAACCTTTATTAAGCTCCTGCAACATATTTATTCACAAGCTATAAGATTCTTGGTAAGATTGAAAATTAGGAGAGCCAGAACCTGTTTTAAACTTCACAACCGGTTTGCAAGAACTGTGTCAAGTTAAAAAAAAAATTAAAAAATGGGATATTATAAGAAAATGTACTTTAGGATTATTCCACAAATATTGTTTAGCTCAAGAATCAGTTTGAGGGTCTATAAAAAACTAAAAAGAAGAATGCACTCATGGAAACTTGGGAATAATTAATTCAGGCAGCCAGAGGGTATAATCGTTTCATTTTTGGCAAAATATTACTATTTATGGAAAGAAATTCTTTTTTTATGTTGGTTTCCCACCATTAGTGTGGGAAAAGTTCTACAAATTAGAAACATTTTGGGGGCATTTTATGGCTCCTATCCTTATATTAGGAGATGTGAAATTATTGTAGTAGTTTTACTTATTGTAGACCACTCCAATCCCAAAGGATTCTGGCAATTCACAAAAAGCAGAAATAAGGACAATGAAATAGTATAAAAATAAAGATTCTAAACCAAAGTAAGATTACAGACAATGAACTCAGGCCAAAAATATGATGGAAAAATCTATTTTTTAGAATCTTGTGGAAAGCAAGGATCACTAATGCATATAATAATTTCTGTGTGAATCAATAGCACAGAATTCCACTATACTAAGATGGTTGATAAAGAATTAGCAGTCCTATGTTTGCATTTCTTGTGTCGGATGAGGAAAGCACATCTTTCTCCTGTCCTGGCCACATTTTACAGAGGCAGGATTGAGAGTGTTTTAACAAACTGCATCACTCTCCGGTTTGGTGGTAGCAGTGCCTCAGAGAGAAGGTCCATACAGAGAATGATAAGGACAGCTGAGAAGATTGTACGAAGCTCGCTTCCCGTTATTCAAGATACTGCTTATAAGCGCTATGTACTTTGAGCTCGGAGCATTGTTAGAGACCCCACACACCCACTTCACAGATGTTTCTGTTGTTCCCCTCTGGAAGGAGGTTTTGAAGTATTTATAGCAGAACTACTAGATTCTGTAATAGCTTGTTCCCTATGGCATCCGTCTTGTAAATTCGCAGGATTTTTTTTTTTTTTGCCATGTATATGTATACATTTGAACTAGATTGTGATATTTCTCTCTGTCATATGTGTGTATGTGTGTATATGCATAATCCTATTTTTTGAGAGCTGAATGCAATGAAATTTCATTTTTATGTTGATTAGTGTACATTTAAAGTGACAATAAAGTATCCTATCCTATCCTATCCTATCCTATCCTATCCTATTCTATCCTATCCTATCCTATCCTATCCTTTGCAGGTGATAATGTCAACCAACAGTGATACTGAAGAAAATTGTTGATTATATCTTGAAGGATCAATATTTCAATATATGAGGGAAGACTAGACAGTTCACTGGATGTATTAATAAAGCTAAATTTTAAATGTTGATATGTAATGAAGACTGTTTGGAAAACACACTGATACTTGAGGAAATCAAAGACAATAGAAAAAAGGGTGTCGGAAGACAAAACAGTTTAATAGTATTTCTGATATGAGCTTGAGATTATAAGAACTTGAAGCAATTATGGACAGAAAATCCTTGCAAAGAATCAGAAGTGACTGAACAATGGTTCATATCAGAAATACTATTAAGCTGTTTTGTCTTCCAACATCCTTTTTTTTCTATTGTCTTTTATTTACTCAAGTATCAGTGTGTTTTCCAAACAGACACCTTCCTATCAACATTATTTAAAATTTAGCTTTACTGAACAGTGATGACAAAATTGTTGCTAAATGATTAGCAGACCTGAAACTTAATTTATTATACAGGAATATAGTTACTTTGCAGGGAAAACCTTGGAATTCTGCTTGATTAGATAAGGGCCCCCAGTAACTATTTTCATGTGTGTGATGAGAATACTGTAAGGCTGAAATATTAGTGATTTATATAAAGCAAAAACTTTGAATACTTCAGATAAAGACTGACGTGCTCTTAAAGGAAGCAAGAGCATTACAGTAATGCAGCCTTCTAAGCTAATAATGAAAATCAGGAAAAGTGATAGCTAGTAAAGTCTGTATTTTTCTGTCATACAGCCTACATTTTTCTGTCATATTCAGAATACAGTAAGTAGGTAAAATGATTTTGAATCTTTATAGAAATGGAAATATGATGTAATAGGTATAATGGACACTTATGTAGGATAGGCTCCATATTGGAACTATGAGAAAGCACTACTTATTCATACATTCAGTTGAGCCACCTTGAGAAAACATCTTCTCCCAGCCCTGCTTTCAAGTTGCCTTGTCATCTGTGGATATACTAGATCAGAGGTCCCCAACCTTTTGGGCACCAGGGACTGGTTCCAGTTGTTTGAACCTTTTATCCTATCATATGAACAGCAATTAAAGACAAAGCCAGAGAACACATGCAAGTTAGATTTAGCCAGTTGCCATTTTGTCACATTATATAGGAGTATAATGATTGAAGGATGCAGGTTGTTCAAAAAGAATAGAAACCACTGTAAGGCAGGAGAAATTAAAACTAGCAGCAATCAAAGTGAAGTACAGTAATTTCAAAATAGTGTAACACATGTTGAAGATCAGTTAAGTGAAGAATGAATAAGAGCAGGTAGAACATATGTAGCCCAGAATTGAACTGCAAGGATCTTGGTGCTCTCTGTCCTTTATTGTTTGCTTGCAAATGTTTCATTATCCAACTAAGTAACATCATCAGTGCTAGTAAGTGTGAGGCGTCTCCACATTTATGTAGAGCAGCGGTTCTCAACTTGTAGGTCGCGACCCTATTTGGGATTGAACGACCATTTTACGGGGGTCGCCAAACAACGCGATCCGCCATTTTTCCCTCGGGGTGCCATCGCACATGCACGCCGCGCATGGGGGCAGCACCGTGCATGCACGACGCGCATGGGGTGGCGCATGGGGCGGCACTGCGCATGCGTGGCACGTCCTTATGACCGGGGTCACCGTATAAAAAGGCTGAGAACCACTGATGTAGAGTATCTTGCACTGCCAGTGTTGGTATGGGGAAGGTATAGTTTTCTCCTTAATACCATGTTTCCCCG